AATCTCTTACACTAATAGCTTAAGCTGTTGGCTTCGAACTGTAGGGTTTAACCTTTGAGACAAATTCGATATTATAGTTTATGGGAAAAGGAAAGCTATGAAAAAGTCTGAAAGATTAGAATATTTGCTACATGCTACATCTCCTTCCCGCCTTCTCGAAGAGTACAATTGGAATTCCCATCCCAAACTGTGTAGAGTTTAATGATTAAGGTAATGTCCAGATATCATATGTTGAAGCTTCCCTTTGAAACTTCGGAAATATTAATAATAATAATACTTCGGAATAATGATAATACACACACTGAATATACTAAACAATAAATGGGCTTAACAAAAGTGCGTTTATCTGGTGATATGTACAACATCAAATTTTGATTATATTTCTGCGAAATCTGAAACATTTTATTTTGATTTGTTAGTCAGTTACAATTTTAGTTATTCATTTCTATTATTTTATCATGTCTGATACAAGTCCACTGACTCAAGAAGATGCAAATTAATTTAATACAAAAGAAAAATAGTAGTATGTCAGATTCATATAATAAAATGCAGCGACTGAGCAATTATTAGACCAAAAGGACGTTACCCCCGAAGGGCAATTAGTCTCAAAATGGCATTCTACGTCGAATCACTATAAACGATTGTATCATTTTTAAAATTGTTGCAACCAAATATTATAGCCTGCGTCCCGGCTTAAAATAAAATTTCTTTATATTTAAAGAAATTAAATAATGAATAATCTGCATGAATGTATGTATATTTCTCGTATTGTGAAAAAGTAACTACACCTAGAGCCATCAAATTTTGAGTAACAGCTGAACATGGGCACCTGGAAGCCCAAATCTTGAAATTTCAAATTAATTTTATTATCTATTTCATATTTTTGAACTTTAAAAAAGTTTTTAGTAGAGTAATTACTATAGCAGAAGCATTTTTGGTAAATTTTTAGTAATGAAACTCAACGATTTCAAAGCGAGCAGTGACGACACACTGTGCGAAATAAAATATTTTTATCACCAGCGCGCGTGACTGTTTATTGGAAATTCTAAAGATATGCTGTTCATAAATATTTTAGCCCAAATGCTCTTGAAACGTGTACGTACGTGTAAACGCAAAAAAACGACCATTTGGGCGTAATATAAAATCGGAAAACTTTTCAGATTTGGTTCATTCTGTAAAGACATATTTTAGTTTTATGTTTTTGGGGATTACGTGACGTTTTTCTTTCTATTAATATCACCGCTTTGTTTGGAGTTTTCGGTACTTTGCAACCCACTTGTGCATTAATATTTAGAAATAAGCTAATCTGCTTTGAGAACTTTTGATTTCACTGTGAATGAGTTTTGAAATGAACTTCTAAGAGGATAATTAAAACTGAAGAGTAAAAGCGGAGAATAAATATATGTTATGTATTTCTCAGCTGAAAGCTGTATTACGTTTATCTTTTAAATGCTTTTGTTTGTGTAAGCATTGACTTCTCAGCAATAAAAGTTTTTAAAGTAATCTGCTTTCTCTCTTGCTACTGAGCAATTTAATGGAAGTTAGACCATACATATACTTACGAAATTCGGTTTAAAGCAAAAACTAAGGCAGAAAATATGAACTCAAATTATTAGCTAAGCTGTTTTTAGCAATAAAAAATTTGAGTTAGGTTAGTTCATGGAAAGTATATATATTTTCATACTCATATATATTTTCTTGAATGTACAAGAATACAAGTAAAATTCCACAAGAACATAGAGAAATGAACTTTCTAACTAACCTGACAAAAAAAGATTACTCTGTTATGAAATGTGATTTAATTTGGTCTTTTTTTTGTGTTGTAGTCTCAAGCTTCCTTGTTCATATTGTGGCATGTTTACGCGCTGATTTCTCCATGCATACTATAGAATTTAATAATTTTCATGACTTGTGCCTACCCTAAATTCGTCGTTTTGGTGAAAATTTTCGAAATGTTTTTATTTATTTTATAGGCCATACATTTAGGTTTCCAAAAATTTTGTTTTTAAGATAACTAGAAGCGAAGTTATAGTATGAATAATGAACTGGAAGTGAATTTTTGGATGCCGGAAGTTGGCATTTAAATGGTCGTAAAATTGTAAACAATAAGTTTAAACAACATTTTTTCTAATTATTAAACAATGTAAAAGCTGTAAAAGCAACATATATTTCCCTGTGTGACATTTTGCTCATAAAATGCCTACATGAGAAAACTCAAAACAATAATGTTTTAATAACCTTTTGAAGGCTATTTTATCTAAAGAAACTTTTGTCCAACTGAAAACATTGCTTTTAGATGCACATATTGCTGTATTATTATTTAATTCAAGATATTTAGGACTTTTATCTATTTTCAGGTATACAGAAATATAATTTAATCCCATTATGCTTGCTACATGGGAATAGACAAACAGCGAATTCAGAAATCTAAACGCCAATCTCTACAAACAATAAAGTTATTTAGAAAAATTATTTAAGAATGAAGCAAAAGAGGGCCTAAAACACAAATATAGCGAGTTTTAAAGGTCTAAAGTGGCTAAAAAAGTTTAAAGTTTTTGTGCTGTATTAAAATCTTTAAATGCATTTTCTGAGAAACTGTGTTTTTCGTTACTTTTGATCGCGATTACATTAATTTCTCAAAATGTATTTAGAATATTGAAATGAAATTTTGCCAAAATGTTTTATTCATTTTCAGCTGTGTTCTATAGCAAAATATGACCTCTTTGTATTTATTTATTGATTTTATTGACAGTATTTTGAAGAAAAGAGTATCTTTTTGTTTTAATTTTGACTTTTTGTGCCAAGTTTGGGATATTTCAAAAAATTTCATAAATACAGCAAATGTTTTGAAAACACAGGTAAGTATGTTATTTATATACTGTGTAAAGATTATTGAAGTATATTCATTAGAATCTATTATAGGAGATCTGGCGTAAATGAAACTTTCACTAAAATTTTACTAAATATGAACGTTCTATAAAATCCCATTTAAATTCATAGTTTTATATTCCATCTTACTCAAAAACATGTGTGTTTAATTAAAATTTTATGTATTTGAAAAACGTGCTTCATATGTAGGCACATACCTTAAACGTACTGTCGCATGCAATTCTCTTTATATTAATTAGCAATTTCTTTCATTAAACGGTAGCTACAAAAACACTTATCTTCGCATCTAATATTCATATGTTGACTACTGCTTTATATATATGAGACAGAAAAGGCATTTTTAGGTCATTAAAATAAATTAACAAACATATGATGTATATATATATATAAATACATTTTACTTCTTTTATCTATACAAATTTACAAAATAATACACATTTTTGATTTTTTATTCTTTATAACTTTTACTTTCTTTTTGTCACTTTTTAGGAACTCTGGACTACTAGGAGTTTCGGGAGTCGGAATGGTAATTTCAACCATACCTGATTCTGCCAGAACTTTGTGAAGTACGATTCGATATGTCCCCATAACACTACTCCGCGATCCTTTACTTTTAGATTCTTCAATCATTTCTTCCGTGATGCCTAGTTCTTTAAGTTTTTGCCTCGTAGTTATCTCAATAACAGAGAGTCCTACGCCATTTTCACTGCAATTTTCAGTCGGTGTTTGTAACTTATCTCTTGGGAGTGCTTCAGGAAAATTCTGGATAGATAGCCAGTTGGATCGCATGATTTGGTCTAATGTGATTCTGGATTTCGGGTCCTGTTTTAGAATACCGAGTACCAAAAAATGGCAGTCGCTGCTGAGATAATCGGGAATTGTATAGTCGCCTTCAAGAATTTGCTTTTTCAAGCCCGCAACTGTTGTCGCTTTGAAAGGCATAGATGCTGTTAACATGAAGTATAGAAGCACTCCAAGAGCCCAAACATCAACCATAGGCCCAACATAACTGTCATCACGGAAAAGCTCCGGAGCTGCATATGGTGGAGATCCGCAAAATGTTCTCAAGGGCTCTGCAACATCACGAATATGTGTGCTGAATCCAAAATCTCCAACTTTGACGATATTCGGACCAGCGAAAAAAACATTTTCGGCTTTCAGATCTCGATGAACAATGTTGTGAAAATGCTGGAGGAGAAACAAATAAAAAATTATACACCTCTGATACATCAACTGTTAAGATTTCAAGGAGAAACAATAAACATCAAAAAAATACTTAATTCATTTATTTTGTTCATTCTTAGCCTTAAAGACAACAAATGCGACCGGATGCTTGAAAGACAAGAATCTAATATCTCTTTCTTTTTTGGTTCAAAAGACAGTGATAGCAATTTCATTCACATACATGTATTTATTTACATTGTATTTATTCGCATACTTTGCAAACGTCTTTATTTTTTTCTCTACGAGAACAAGAACTGAGCTTGGTGTGTGCAATATTAATAATTGCATAGCACAGACATAATTGAATTTTAATAATGTTATTTTTTAATCCAAAGGCATGGACGTGGAATAGATATAAATCGCTTTTAGTGATGTCAATTTTCAAAATAAAATTATTAACACTAATTCGTAGTTATTCTCTCAACGAAATTCATTCCCGAGGCCTTGTGATAATTTGTATACCTAAGTCGTTTTCTAAATCAATTATCAATATTGATTATTATTTTTCATTATTATTCTTGTAACATAAATTGAAAAGTATAATTTTCATTACCGGAAACCACAGAATGAACAGCTGTTTCGTCTGAAAGATTTGAAGCTTTTTCTGCTCGTTTAGCGGTTTTTATTTTAAAAAAAAAATTCGGTATTTTTCCGTTTCGCCGGCACAAATCTCGCCAAACAGACTTTACACAGTATGCACATACACACACAGTATGTACACTGCTCAAAAAGAAAAAAAAAAAAAAAAAAAAAAAGGGACAGTGCTATATCTCCCGTTCTACTGGGCCGATTGACAAAATTCAAACTGCGTTTTTCATGTCTCGAAAGCGCGACTTAGGATATATATTAGATTTATATATAGCACTATTCTAACATAGGTATTTTGACACAAAATCGGACTTTTTCTGAAATAACATACCAATTTTTTTCCATATTTCGATTCTACGACTCAAATTATGCCAGAATACCAAGTTTTGTAAAAATCGTACGAGTAGTTTTTAAAAATATTAGCTCTCAAAATTTTAGCTCCTCAATGTTAATTGAATTTGGCAAATATTTATTAATATCTCTTTTTTATTAAACTTTTTTTATTTTTTTCTCTCACATTTCGAAATTTAGGTTCATTCCAAATAAAATTTACCCATTTTTTTGTGTTTTATTTTTTAAATTTCTATTTTTAAATAATTTTTATAAATTTTTCGAAAAAAATTTTGAATTATAACCTATAAAATTTTTACCATCATCATAAAGTAGGTGTATTTTTTAAGCATATCTGCAAAAAAATTAGACTTTTTTATTCAAAATTTTCTAAGATATACACGAATTTACATATTTTCGCGTTTTGAAATTTGGCATCTTTTTTTCTGAGCGATAATAACGCCAAATGTGGTCTATGGATTTTTGTTACACTGAATTGCCACAGCTATTTTTAACCTTAAATTTCAAGTAAAATTTTACGGAGAATTAATTATATGAAATTTTTTTCCCTCAATAAGGCGTAATAAATATTTATTAATACTATATGAAAAGCTATTTTTTTTAAATTATAGATGATATTATTCAAATTTTTAACAATTTTTTTAATTTCTCTCTTTCTTCCTTTTTTTAAAAAAATAAGAGTACATTTTTCTAAGAGTAAATTTTTACCTTCGGCGTTTTATCGTCTGCTACTTTACTTCGCTTAAATCGAATTGTCTAAAACTGAGAATTTTCTTTTAATGTTTATTTGAATTTTATGAAAATATTTTATGACATTAACTGCATAATTTATTTCTAAACAAACTGTTGCTTTTGAAGTGGCTGAAAGAGCGGCAGATACTATCATCCATATTTTTAAAGCACAGTATATTTTATAGAAACATAAGATTTAGAATAATCATTTTATAATAAGTCAAATTATGATATAAACATACAACCCTCTAGAGACTGAATTAATGGAAGTTCAATGGTTATGTAGAAATGATCTGCAGCTACTTAATGGCTGGATAAGTCAGCAGATTCTGTGGACAAGTAAGAATAATTATATGAACGACACAACATTTGGATTCAATTAACAACAACGAGGGTATGATGTTTATTAAATGAATTTAAGAATTTTAAAACATAAAAAAAAATCGACTCATTTTTTATCCTAAAATGTATTTTTGTGCGTAGCGTATTTTCATTATATCCTTAAAATTCTAATTTAGAATGTAATTGTCAAGAACTGAATCCTAATCATCAGTAATATAATAAGTAATTATTACGGTTATTAATAAATCCTTCTTATAAAGTAATTGCAAATATTTCAAAAAACTTTCTGTCTGAATGCAAATATTTTTCTATGCAAAATTTTTAATTTTATATTAATCAAGATTGCACACGATATTATTTATTTACACTTCAATTCTTACCGTCAGCTCTAGTAGAAGTTACAAATCAATTATATTTAATTAAGGATTGGATTGGATTATTTAATTATGGCAAAGCACACGAGGGCTATCTGCCTAAAGGGAGGGATGCCTTCGTGGAGGACTTTCTAAGGGAAACTGGCTCGTATACACGTTACACATGGGGAAAACCACGAAAACGCCCATGCAGCCAGCCCGTTCGCGGGATTCGAACCTCAGACCGAACTACCAGTGTTCAGCGTCTTTACCGCTCGGGCGTTGGTGGGCTATTTAATTAAGGAATGACCATCTAAGTTAGAATTTAAGAAACAGCGTACCGTAACAGCAATTTCAATTATTGGCGCCGTATCTTTCGTGTTACTCCCGATTGGCAAGCTACATGATTTTTAATGAGTATTCGGGTTTTGCTAGTAACTTCACTTGGAAATCGCGCTTAAACTAGGTTAGTTGGTTATTTGAACATAGAAAGAACATGGGAGCTATTTGATTAAGATGCTTTCATAGAGAACCTTTGTAAAGAGAACCTAGAAAACTACGAAAACCAACCATGCAGCCTGGGTTAGACTTTGCAACAAACAATTAGTATTTAACAATCTTCAAATGCTAGGCAACTGGTGAGGCTCCAATTAAATCTCCAATTTAATATTTTATTTGTAAATATTTAAAATATTGTTGTATTTTTAGACACAAAAAGCATAATTTAAGTTTCGTTAACTCGTTAGTAAACTACCAAGCCGTAGTGCAAATGAATATTCAATTTCTTTTGCAATAATTGTATTCACTTAATATTCTTGGAATATGAGCTAAAGAAGGAACGTTCTCGGAAGATTAAAGAAGTGTTTAAATCCAGTGATATTAGGTTTGTCTTACAAGCTCAGGATCAAAACGATTCTGCAATTGCCCGAGTAGTTGACTTGTAAATGGCTGTGAATTAAGCAGATGACTTTTAATCTTACGTTTTCAGTCAGACAACGTATTCCAAATGTTTTGTATTCCATGATAATGCATCTTTTCATTATTCAATAACCAGTCGGAGAACCGCTTGTGTTCCGAAAATAAGTATGTGTACTCAATCGTCCTGCATGTTTTTCAAATTTGTCTTCTTGTGGTTTTTTTTCTTTCCCAAAAACTAAAGTTGCCTCTCAAAGGAAAGTTTTTTGACATTGAAGAGACAAAAGGAGTATGACATCTACTTTTAGAGGCATGTCAAAAACAGATCTCTACAAGCCTTCTCTTCCATTACATGTTGTGCAGTCAGACAAAAAGTTGCATCAGCGTAAATTCTATAATCTATTTTTATTACACTCTGATTACTTTATCAACATACAGTGAATATATACTAAATCTTTTACTTCAGCTTAAGTAATTCGAAATTTTTGACGGAATTGTTGTCGGAACTAGGACTTAGAAGATAAGTCAAATTAAATATATCGATAACCCAATAAATTCAAGGTCGAATTTCAATATTTTTATTTTCGAAGGGAGGTAATTTTTTTCAGTTTTCGTCCATTATCCTAAGTATATTTGCTTCGATTCTTTATTTTTCCATAAAAGCGAAAAATTTACGTATGGTATACATATAACGCATAGCTTCAAATGAAAATTTAATAATATACGGAGTGGTTTATAATTAAAGTTCCACATTGAAACGGTCATAAAACGAAAACTACTGCATCAAATGTTATCAAACCTGGTAATCGTGTAAAGGAGGTCATAGGAATTTATTTTCCGCGAAAAAAAGGAAGTTCCAAACCCTCACCACCAGGGAGGAAATGGCGCTGTATGCAATACTTTTAAACGAAATATGGGTCGGAATCTAACTTAACCTTTTGTTACACGGGTTTAATATGTTGTATACCCTTAAGAAATTTTGAAGTAAGCAAATTACCATTTAAAGGCGTTAAATTCGATAAACGTTGAGTGCGCCATCCGTGTATGTGAGAAATTCGTCCGTGAAAACCACGAATTAGCGATTCGAAAATGTGAGATCGCAAATCACTCGCACAAGTGCGTACAATCTGGAAATCGTTTTCTTACAGATCTCTAATTTGTAATTTTTGAAGCCTGAACTCGGCTCTAAAACATGAAGAAACTGTTTCAAAACGCTTTTAATCGATTTGGGCCAAAGAAATCCCTTATGTTATCTATCTTGTTCCATTGCATTCTCCTACTGCATTCGATTGCATAGCAGTCATTCCACACCATTTAGTGTTGAATGAGAGCTAGTTTTATAACTGAACCATTTTTCCCTGAATAGCAGTCGACAGCTGGACCACTGTGATTGCAGCTCACTTAGAGTCAATGTTAAAATGTTTCGTGATACATGAACTGCAGTAACGTGGCATTTTAGATACTACGATTTTTATGCAGGGCTGGGCCCCACCTCACGTGTGTCGCACAGTTACTTAGGCAACATTTCACGAATGAACGTCTTATAAGCCAACATTTCCCCTCTTCCCACCAGACCTCAACCTCTGTGACTTTTAGCTATGGGGTTTTCTCAAAAGCACTGTTTATGGTGATAATCTAAACAATTTGGCAGAAATTAAAAATGTGATACACTGACAAGTCCGT